CGACCGATGTTTGGTTTGTTATGATTGGTGGTTCTTATACTAATTTGGCATAAGTTTTGAAAAGTTAGAACTTTTAGGCAAAATCCTTAAACGAGTTTGTGTGACGTACCTAGGTCTCATTGCTTAGAAATTAAGCTCGGCTTATACCTTTTATAGCTTTAAAATCACCGTGTAAACAAAGCTTTAGTCTCGCAACGTAATTTTGCATGGTCCACTGTAAATGCGTTATTTCACTTTTCAGTCGATTCTGGTGTCATTCGTAAAGCGAAAGCTATTATTCTTTCATATTTAATATGTTCGTTGTTAATTAACAAACTGTTTGAAAACAAGAGATGTAACTCTAAAAAATATAATCTTTTACTTTTAATTTGATTGATTTAAAAAAAAACTTCATTTAATTCATGATATATCTAATTTATATAAAAAATTTAATATTCTTTTATATTTAATCTGATTGATTTAAACAAAAATGCATGTAATTCGTGATATAGCTAATTAAAAACATTAAATATATTTATAGAATTACATATTTTTTCAATTTTTAAAATGCATATTCTTCTAAATGTATATTCATCTAATATACAATAACAATTTTCGCTATTCCACTGGGGACATCTCTGTTTATAATCTCTGCTGATGAACCATATTAAACTTTAGTTTAAGTTAGCGCAAAGGTTAAGTTTTATTTTTTACGTGATTTTCGGTAAGAGTTTATGAAAAACAAAAACAACACTTTATTATTACTTTTAGTTTATAACAAATATAAACTTCTCATTTTAGTTCCACATATTTTTGATCGGCCCTATGGCGGTATGGAATTTCTAAATCCTTCGCCAGAATGCGTGTTTATTTCACGCGCATTTATATATCAACAGTAGAAACTAAGGCAAACGTCTTTTGGGATTTAATCTGAATAAGCTGGATGCCATATTCCCTTCCGCGTTTAGCAGTTAGTAATTCTTACCTTGAAAATTGCTGTGAGTTCTACCTCCTTGATATTCTTTAAATATAACCTAAGCGAGCAGTTTGCGTAACCCACTTCTATTTCCGTGAATAATGCTGTGAAATACCTGGGAAATAGCTTAAAAATAATGAGAAAGAGGGGAAGAAAGAGACTTAGCTCTGACCTAAGGTTCAATAGCAAGCAACTTCTCAAGAGAGCAAACAAAACTTGAAGTCAAGCGTTTATATGAAGCACGTAATAATATCATCAAATAGAATATCACGTAATTCGAAGACCATGTTGTCTCTATATATCAAGCTGGAAGAGTTTTTAGAGGCAGAAATACGGCTTGACCTGTGTCGGTAAAAAGGCACTAAAAGCTCCCTCGGTCTTTGTGTAGCTGCCACTATCAAAACGTTGCACGTGGGCGAGCATATAAATACGAACCATTTTCAGAATCGGAGGTCACCGCGTACACGTATCATCAGCGAATCAAAATAACAAAAACGGCGAATGCCCTTGGGTGCTTGTTTTGCTTGTCTTTTTTCTTCGCTGATGCATGTGATGTCACAGATATGCTAACATTTTTATCTCTCCTACTAGTTAAGAGAAATCAGATTCGTGTCATCAGGACTAAAAGAATATTGTGCGAAAAAATTAGCAGTATTACTTAAGATAAAGACTATATAAAATAAAATTCTGAATATGATCTGCAATAACCCTTTAGACCTCCTATTTAATTTGGTTATTTCCCCTTTAAAAACAGCAACGTATCGCTGAACTGTATCCATATCATGTGATTTTTATATAACGCCCGTGACGAAGGTAATTATATGACGCAAAAGTCTCTCAGCCATTAATAATACTAAAACTTGCAATTCAAAACCTTAATCAACCAATGGAATTAAAGCGGGTGTATAACTTCACTATTCTTTGTCTAGCACTGTAAGGATCTTAAGTTTTACTAACGTTTATTTTATTTTAAATCTTTACTATCACTTCTTATTTTCTACTTCCGGCCAGAATTATAAGCGTTAATGTATTTATGCAAAGTTTGTCTGGCGAACGCAAGATTTAAGTTGTGCTTTTTGCCAAAGCGAGAGAGAGGAAGCAGTGAGTCAAAGCAGGCCGCTTACTTAGAAGTTACGCAGTTGCTGTTTGCCTTCAGGCCAGAGGTTTAATCCTCTTGATAATTTTTAAACGTTTAATGTAGTGTTCACAGTTTCTCTGTACTACATACGCTTCCTGTTAATATAACGCCAATCTTCCACGTTTATATTTTAAAGTTAAATTAGAGTTTAGTTCTATTTTTATATTTACGTTAGACCCCAAGTGGCGGTCTGTGTATTCCGAAGTACGGAAGTTCTTGTAAAATAGAGAAAAATAAAAAAGGGTTTTATATACCCTTCTTGTGTATCCTGTCTACTTACCACAAGAGTGAACATAGCTTTAGTAAGCTCTCTGTTCCGAGTCAGGTCCTGTATGTTCCCGAAGAAAGTAGACGAACAGTGAACCTGATAGTGGCGCCCAACGAAGAGAATAACCCATGCCGAGTTTCAAGAAGAACCTGCTGCCTGCAAGGGCTCAGAATCCAGAAATGCCAGCTGCCGCCCTGGAAGGATTTGGTTACATCGTCCAGCCATGCGCGCTTCGATGAACCAGAAGCAACATTATGGAAAATCACCGGATTCTTCGGCACGGAGACCCGCGGCACAAGCTCAGAGGTGGAACGACAAGACAAGCAAAGAGGCAGAGCAAGTGAAAAGAAAATTGCCCCGCGGAAAATTGAAGGTACAAAGAAAAAGAAGCCGTTCCACCGTCCAGAAAAAAGAGAGTTCACGAACACCCCCAGAATGAAGAAGGGGAAAGGACGACGTATGTGGAAGAGACCAGGAGAAAGACGGCAACTATAACCCGGCTCTGAAACGGAAGATCTGACTCATCCGACAGAACTCTCCGCAGCAAAAGTCGCCGAACTGCGGAAGGGCCATCAGCGGCGGAGGAAAAAGTTACAAGGAAAAATTTGAACGGCCAACAACGAGGTCCAAGCAGGAACACGACAGAAGTTTCCCGGTTCCACCAAGACCAGCTGCCATTCAAACGGCCAAGACCACAAGCAGAGAGAAGAAGGAAGGTATTCAAGGGTGACCGAAGTGGTGAAAAAAAGAAAGCTTCCAGAGGAAAGCACTGAAGGGCGAGCCCGTACAAGAAGGAGGATAAATCAAACACGGTCTGCAGCTACCTTTAAAGGACTGGGCCCAGAAAAGGATGTCCGAATATTACAAAGATAAGTAAAATTTTATGTTACTTTGCAAACTTAAGTTAATCTTTCATTCTTACTGCAAGTGGCAGATTTCAGAAGAAGTTTTACCTCATGCGAGGTCTACCTTTATCGCCAAAAGGGCGAGAAATGAGTTGTGACCGATTTTGGTATTATGTTTTTCAATTACTCGCGCGTAAAAAACTAAAGTTGATGTATAATAGCGTTGTGTAAAGACTTAAATATTGTAAAAAGTTATTGTATAAATTTATTTTAAAACATTCTAAGCAAGAAAGAAGTTTTAGTCTGAAAGACTTTTTGAAATGTAGTATTATTTCAATGTAGAAAGAATTGGCACTTGCTTTGAAAAGAATAGAAGTTAACAATGTACTACTAATGTATGTTTTCAAATGTGTAAAATTAACGGCATGTTGATATGTTCTTATATACAATGTGAACTGTTATTTTAAATGTTAAGAAATACCGTGATATGGTAAAAGTGAAAGTAATGTTAAAAAATTTTTTTATTCGTGTGACTGTAAAAGATTAAATCATGGTGAATATGTGTTAAAGGTTGAATGATGTAGTAGTTAGGCTCTCTGACGCTACACTTTAGAGTTAGCCACTTTCAGAATAGTACCTCAGGGTCTAGAGTTGAAATTAGGGTGTGTTAAGAGGTCTCGGTATGTTGAATTTTAACACGTTAGTGTTTTGATTGTAGGAGGAAGTGTTGAACACATAGACAGAAAACACATTCGTGTTTGGTGTTTTTTACAACACATGTCAGAGAGCACGGGGAGAGATAATTAAAATAGTCATGAATGAAATAAGAATGTTAAGAGAAATATAAATATGCATGTTACTTTGCCATTTCATTGTGTAACATTTCATTAAACTAGTTTTCCTTCCAGATCTCTGGAAGGAACCAGAATTTGAATAAAGCTCCTGTTTAGATGCAGTACAGATGAAAAAAAAAATTGTTGTATCCTGGGGAGCTGCTATTGTAAAAAAACAAATTTCTTTCTTTTAAAATTTTCTAGTTTCTAGCGAAAAATGTTTGTAAAAGATTGGCCTCGCGTTAGATTCTAGAGCTAAAAGTTTTCAACAAGGTCGTTTTAGACCTCAGTTTCAAACTAATTAACTCTGGCGGGAAGTATGTAAGGATCTTAAGTTTTACTAACGTTTATTTTATTTTAAATCTTTACTATCACTTCTTATTTTCTACTTCCGGCCAGAATTATAAGCGTGAAGGATTTATGCAAAGTTTGTCTGGCGAACGCCAAGTATTTAAGTTGTGGCCTTTTTGCCAAGCGAGAGAGAGAGGAAGCCGTGAGTTCGAAGCAGGCCGCTTACCTTAGAAGTTTACGCAGTTGCTACTTTGCCTTCCAGGCCAGAGGTTTTAATCCTCTTGATAATTTTAAACGTATTGTAGTGTTCACAGTTCTCTGTACTACATACGGCTTCCTGTTAATATAAGGCCAATCTTCCACGTTTATTATTCTAAAGTTAAATTAGAGTTTAGTTTTATTTTTATATTTTACGTTAGACCCCGTAGGAGGGTCATTGTATTCCGAAGTACGGAAGTTATTGTATATAAAGAAAAAAATAAAGGGTTTTGTATACCCTTCGTCTGTATCCTGTCTACTTCCCACAGTGATTGAACATAGCTTTAGTAAGCTCTCTGTTCCGAGTCAGGTCCTTGCATGTTTCCGAAGAAAGTAAGACGGAACAGTGAACCTGATAGCACATTTGGTAATTCATGTTACTGACTCTTTTTTATTTATTTGTTTTTTAAAGCTCACCTTTTGTTCATTTATGGTGATGTCTGACAGCAAATCACCTCTTCCGGCCATTCCAGATCTTCGGCACACCTCAACCATCCAAGAGCAATTATAGAATAACAGACATACCAACATCCAACTCGTGTGGGTAAAAGCACATGATGTACTCGAAGGAAATGAAACTGCTGACCATCCAGCCAAACAGCCGGCGCGGGACATTGACGCAACGTAATGTCACATCTTAGCGGTCTCGTCACACCTCAAACGCATTCTCCACCGTACCATAAAGTATTAATCCTCTGGCAGTCAGGATGGAATAACTGGAACACGGGACTTCTTCATTCAAAACGTCTATTCTGATCGCCATATCTTCATTCCACGCATTTTATCACCAGCCATAGCGCTTTCCAACTTATTTCAAAAGACATGATATCATCAGTACTCATGTCTGTGTTTGCACCCTGACCAATACATATACAGTTGTCCTCTTATCATCTCTTTGCATCCAAACAACCCAAACAACACAGCAGCGTACAAACGTATCCTGGCTACAAATCGGACAGCAGTCACGAAAATCTGCTATGTCCTGGATTCAGGCCCAAGGACAAGACATCTGTCAGGCTTACTGAGCAAAGCATCTCTCTGAGCAAACTTGTATGTCTCATCTAGGATTATCTCATCTGTGCGGAGTATGTGTATGTGATTCAATGCAAGCACAACTGATGAACTCTGAGAAACTTGTTTAATGCAAAAACTGTATTGAACTTTGAGTAAAATTGTTTAGTATCTCTTCATGTATTTATGTGCAGTGTTTTAGACGTATTTTGTTTTTGCTAGCCCAAAGAGCATTAGCTCAGAGCTGCTATTAATTTCGTTTTAGCATTTTGCGTTGGTTCACTATAAAAGCCTGAGTCACTCTTCAAATTGTTTCCAGGAAATATTATCGCCCTATATTATACTCAAAGAAATTAAATAATGAGGAATCTGCGTGAATGTATGTATGTTTCTCGCACTGGGAAAAAACAACGGTTCCTAGAGACATCAAATTTTTAATAACGTAGTTCTCCACTCGAATGCGGGCATCTGGAAGCTCTAATTTGGAATTTGTTGTATTAGCTATTTCATATCTTGTTAAACTTTAACGGATTTCTAATTAACAAACTTAACGATTTCAAAGCGTTCCGTTATTAGCATTAACATCGCACGCATCTTCCAGCACAATATTTTATGCGCTGGTTTCTTTACGTTTCTTACTGGTATTATGCTGGTAGAGTAGCCATGCAAAGACGTTACAAATATCTAACGGTATTTTTGCCTCGAATGACTTTGAATGTCTGTATCACTTTTCAAATCCCATTTTGAATCCGTGGGAAAAAAAAGCGGCATTGAATGTAATATAAAATCTGAAAGCTTTCAGATTTTTTTCCTTTATTTCTTTTTTTGTGTGTTTTATGTTCTAATATATGCTTTATATGCTTATACATTATACATGCTTTTTTTATAATACCTATGCTTTTGTATTTATATTTATGTTTCATATTTTATTCTCCATGTCTCACGTTCTGGTAATACAACATGTTTCTTGCAGCCTCTGTCTCCCCAAACAGTAGCCATTGCATCGCCATCTAGACCTTATATATGACCATGTAAACTTACTTAAAATCTAAAATTCTTTATTAATCTCTGGATAGCGGAGGACGAAGGCCATAGAACTGATTACCTCTAGCAGACGCCAGGTGCCCCCGTTCTCCGTCACCTATCATGTCTAAAGGGTTATCAACTGCTGCTGCTCTTTCTCTCAAATCATACTGCTGCATATATAGGGTTACTAGACATTCAGGGCTGCTTTGTATAGTCCGGGCTTTATAAAGTTGCGCCCGAGTTTTATTCGAGAATGAAAATTCTCCCAGAAGTTTAACAGAGACTGGCTGTATGTCTAGTTAGTCAGTTTCTCCGCTAAATGCCTCAGCTGTAATGCAAAAGATTTTTTCAACTTCGGACAACATTAGAATACCAGAAAGAATTCAGTTACAGAGTTCAAAACTAAAAGAAATTTAAATTTGGGGGTAAATTTTAAATATTCATGAAGTGATTTTTATTAATATATAAAATCCAGCAAAGAATTTTTAAGGAAAATATAAGCTAATGAAAACTGTGTAAAAATTTAACAATGAAAATCCCAGCTGTTCGTATCATATCCAGAGGAGAAAGCTAAGTACTTACGTAGTATCCCGTCGACCGGCCAAGTAACGCGATTTAGAGCCAGTTATGAATGACTGGCGATTGACGACCATCGCCATAATTTCCGCCAACGGTCGACAGGATAATATTTAAGTACCGAAAGCAACAAAAAGTATGCAGTCAACCTTTCAATACTGTTACGAAATGTACAGGCGCGGTAAGATGGCTTTCCCGCAAGGCAGTTTTAGGGTTGCCATAAAATGGCAGGAAAGGCAGGGTTGCCCCATTTGGGCAGAAATCGCCCATTTGGCGACAAAATTGGCGATATGTCATGGACGGATGGAGAACCGTGGACTTCTCAATTACGCGCTGAGCGTGCAGAGCACTACACCACGAAAGCTTGCTAAGAAGACGGGAGAAACAACTTATACTTTAATTCGATGTTTACAAATATTAAATTACAGAATATATTATTGCATCAATAAAAACATGTATTGTGAATATAGTCAAACACGCGTCAATAAAAATGCATTTTTATTTGGTTCTAGCTGGGTTATACACACCATGCCCCTCTACGAAAATAACATAGCTCGAGATTTTAGTTCATAAAATCTGGTAACCCTATGCACATATGAAACTAATGTGCAATAGAAGCTTTAGTTTTGGTTTGATTTATTTAATTATGGAAATGTACTCGAAGGCTATATGCCTAAGAGGAGGGATGCCTTCGGGGAGTACTTTCTAAGGGAAACTGGCTGGTGTAGACGTTGCACATGGAGAAAGCCACGAAAAGCCCATGTAGCCAGCTTGTTCACCGGGATTTGAGCCCCGATCGAACTACTAGCATTCAGCTACTTTACCGTTCAGCCGCTGGTAGGCCGTGCAATAGCTGAACATGGCATGCATCTTTGTTGCTACTATTCTTATGCTGTGTTTATTATTCAACAACATTTTATCTAAATAAAAATGACCATAAGGAATCCAACAATCTACTTCTAAATTTCCTTCTTCTCCTCACTAAAATTCTATATACAGATCGTGTTTGTATCAACAGAAAACATTTTCTTTTGCGTAGTTATAAACTGTTTAATGCAACTGATTCTTCTTCCTTTATTGAAAGTAAAACTTAAAAATTCAGTAACTTTTAAGTGATAAATATTAGTGATTTTTAATAACTAATTAATATACACTTTAAATCAATTACTTCTTTAAGTTCATCTGAGATTTATCCGCTCAACTGTGCAACCGTTTTTTGATGCAAAGAAATTCTGTATTCCAGTATAGAGGAATATACAATAGAATTTCGATTCAACGAATAATTTTGCTTGAAAAAGTAAAATAACTGTATTTAAGGAATATTTCATCGAGTTTTGAAAAATTATCGAAATTCAAAAATTTTTCCAAAAATTTTCCCAAATTTTAATTTTTCATGATTTTTTTCTCGACACTTATTTTAGTTTAGCAACCGTATGATCTTTATCCGTGATTCACGGAATGAAATAACACCAACAATATTATCAGCAACTGCTTTAATAGGAGTAGGAACTTTTATAAAAATGAAAGTACTAACTGTAAAAACTAATTTCACTGGGAAGAGTAAAGACGAAGATGCTTCGGAAAGTGCTGTGACTTTATAGTGTGTGAATTTTATAGGCCTACCAATTTTCTGATCACCCATTTACAAACTTCGAATTTGTCGTCAGGATATTGCATATCTGGGTACATCCACATCACGTTCCCGGATACTCTTTCTAGTTTACAGGCTACAAAAGTTCCAAATACAATACAAAATTACGTTTTCAGTTCTCTCCCGAAACTCGATAAAGATTTCGAGATTGAAATCTTTGAAAGCAATTCAGTACTTTGAAATACCATCTTCACTCAGAATATTTTATTTTGTATTTTTTTAAAATTTACTTTTCCATGCATAAGGTAGCTTCCCTTCCTTTACTGGTAAATTCATAATATACAAATGCATAAGTTTTGTGCTCTGAACATTTACATGTCTATTTTAGTGGCAGTAGATTTAAAGAATTTTAGCTCCAGTCCTGATTGATTTACATGTATAAATTCACCTTTCATCCTTATTTTCCTGTTTGCAGACAACTAAAGAAGCCTTCTACTTTTATACTGCTCAGTTTTTACGTGTGAGCTAAATTATAATTCCTAATCGGCAAATAATATGTATAAGATAGAATCAAAACGAGGACTGTTAGCTAAGATAACAGTAATCAGCTTAGTTTTTTTTTTTTTTTTTTGGGGGGGGGGAACAGGAAATCTAAAAGTACTGTTCCTACTCTGGAATACAAGTTTACAACAGGAATCCTTCAGCACTCTGATTTAAAATAGGAGAATTAGTTCTGAATTTAAAAATAATTAAATGTGCCTCATTAAATAACTATGTAACCACATTTTGTAGTTCTCGTAATACAGTAAATAGTTCATACTTACGGCATATTTTTGATAAAATGATAATTACTCCACCTGAGGCATATCTATTTTACCACGGGAGTTATCTGGTTACCTACTGATCCATTACCACCTGTAGAGTTTGAAATGAATAGCTGTAGCTATGCCAATTTTTTACCATCTATAATGAGTATAAAAATATTATATTATATAAGTATAAAAACTCTAAATAAAACTTAACATTAAACTCTTTTAAACTAAAATTACCAACATTTCATTCACATTGCAAATAAAGGATAAAGTGCACTTGCAAAAATCTCAAAGACCTTTTCTGGAAAATTAACCATATCAAATGTAAAAATCAAATACTAGGTATTTAAAAGCAAAACTGATTCCAGAAGTTCCTTTGAGCATAACTGTTTAAGTCCTCGAATTTATATTGTTCGTTAAAGGCTAATTTAAAAAGATATAATCATTGGTTTGGTTTAATTTATTATGACAAAGCAGCTAAGGCTATCTGCCTAAAGGGAGGGATGCTCCGTGGAGGACTTTCTAAGGGAGACTGAGTCATATACACGGGATGGCCGTCGTAACGCTCATGCGCCTGGATTCGAGCTCAGGTCGGAACTACCAGCTCTCAGCGATTTTACCGCTCGGCCGCTTGGTGAGCCCGATATATTTACTAGTTAAAGTTTTAAAACAGTGCCCAACTTTGTAATTATTTATATTAAATATTCGCAACTGAATCCAAAACTGGACTTCTGCGCATAGAATAACGCATAAAATATGCAAATTAGGTGACTGAAAACATTCTCCCGACATGAATTCGGGAGATTTTAGTCGAGTAATTTTCTCGGTTGACTCCCAACTTTAATTCGGCACTGTAGTGTTATTTAAAATTAATGTGTCTTCTGCGAATGACCAATAATGGTTGAGCTGGTAGACTGAAGAAGAGGTCAAACATAAATGGAGGTCGCTCAACGTTTGAATATCTTTTAAAGTGTCGTATCAAGAACTTGGAACCACATTTTAAGCAATAAATCAGTTAGTAGATAACCTGTTCAAGAATAGCGATGAGTAACAATTTCATTCGAAGACCGTTTTTTGTCACTGTCAGCTAAAAGAAACTGAGAAGCGAGAATTGGTTTTAAACCTCCAGGAAAGATACTAGAACTCAAGTAAAACTTTCTAGTGTTTCAC